ATGCAGCACATTGGAGGAGATTTCACTGGCTGGCACCCACATGTGCTAAAACTTTTTTAATTATTAGTTTAGGTAGGCTTGTACAAGTGCACACTTGCACATTTCCAGGCGTCCAAACCTTGGAAGCCTCGGCTGGGCAATGTCTGGGGGGAATGCTGCTGTCAACACACAGCATGCATCAACCTTGCATGTTGTGCCAGAGGCTCCCCATGGTGTTTTATTAGAGGTTGTTGTCAAAAGATGAGCTGTTAAGGGAGAGCAAAGCCATGAAGGATCTTTGCTCATGGCAAGGGGATGGTGAGATTTATACCCACTTAGTGGCAAGATCATCTTCTTCTTTTTTTGTCCTCAAGGTCCTGTACATTTTGCAGTTTTCACCAAGACTCTTGTTGCTCAGAAAATTGAAAAAGTGCACCCCACCCCATAATCAGATTATCAGTCACCCTTTAGAATAGGAAGCTTCTTGGTGTCTTTTGCCAGTGATATGTGCAGCCATAACTTGGTTGAAGTTGAAACTGATAGCCTTTTCTGTAGAGCTGAATTAAATATTGTTGAATAGTGAATATGGTCCATTTGAATAGGTTGAATATTGTTGACAATCCATGACTCTAGTCTGAATCATATAATTATTCAGCAAGATTTGATCCATTTCATTGACACCATCCATTACTATTCACAAACAGAGCATGTAGCAAGAGACATGTAGTACTGGTTGAAGATTGTACAGTATTTTCTATGAATCTAAGGTTGGTAAAAATTTTATATAGCTGACAAGTTGATATAGGAAATTATTTGTCCAGCCCTCTTCCCCTTTTGGTATACAGCTCTTCTTTTCAGCACCCATAAATTCCCATTGATCAGAAGTGTGCGTGCGTGCGTGCTTGAGTGCGTGCGAGTGTGTGTGCACGCACACACACAGCCCAGTCTTTATCAATGAACTCTGATACCCTTTTCTTTAATTAGATGTAGCATTTGCTCTTCAAAGGCAAAAGTTCCTAATCTGCATAATTCCTGGTACAGCCCTGGAAAAGGGTTCATTGCATTGCATTCCCTTTGCATATTTTTCACTCCATGGATTTTTTTTAAATTCATCACTGAAAAAACATTGTCAGATTTATCCATGTTTAATAGCATTTATTAGTCACCATCCCGCTTGCTCAGCATTTTTTAGCCAATTGGATCTTGTCTCTGCTGATTTCCATAAAGGAGCAGCAGCTTTGTTCTAACATGATTTATGTACCACTTCTGAATCCCATCAATGCATATTCCCCTTTGCTCATCTTGCATCACATCTGCATTGTACAGGAGCTGCTTACATTCAACCAAGGAGAAAGAAATGAAAGTTGGAGTTGTGAGGATTTGGAAGCCAGAGTGTTACAGAGCAGTTTACTGCTTGTCTCTTGCAGTGCCATCAGTGGAAGCAAAACCTTCCTTTACAATCAGCTATAAACTGTTCTTTTCATTTTATTTCTGTGGATGCTCACTGGGGCTATCCAGACAGCACCTCACTTAGCAGAAAGAGCAGGAGAAACCCTAATCACAGCCAGGTTGACTTACCAGATTCTGAAGAAATACACACTGACAACTAAAGCACCATGGTGCTTGCATCAGTTTAAATCAGTTTAAATCCCATTTCAAAGTAGGTGTACATGCTTTATATGAAATATACATGACTTCCTAAGAATTCTACATAGACTTCAGCAAAAGCAGACCAAATAGCCAAATAAGTATTCCTTTGAAGGTGTTATCTATATACCATCTGTTCATATATAGAAAGCATTGTGAAGTCCTCAGTCCATTACATTATTAAATATGAGGGGTTTATCTGTCCAGTATTGTGCTATCAGTCTTATCCTATGGCCAACCAATATTGTTTGGGGAGCCACAGGATTCTTTGGAGCCTCAACAACTGAGTGCAGCCGCCCAGAGTGCCTTTTGCCATCCCTGACTGGTTCATCAGCTGTGGCCTGTTCTGACACAAGTAGCTCAGCCACAGTCATATTAAGGAGACTAATACGCATTTGCTCTGCGTGTGCGCATGTGCTTCCTCCCATTTCTATACCAGTACACACTTGAACACACTTGGAATACAAAGAATAATTTTATTACATGAAGGACAGAACAAAGTCCTCAACTGCACTCATGTCATCGATGTATAGGGCACCAAAACACGAACCATACATATTTGCACTTATCCAGCACCTCTGCTTTTTGCCTGGGCACAGCTGGGGTGGGCTCTGAGCTGGTTTCCACACCAGAACCAAGATTTCTCATACTGTTCACTTCCTACTTTCTCTTTGGAGGAAAGGAGTAAAACCTCCCACGTGTCATTATTTCATTGCTCTTGTTCTATTGCATTATGCCGCATAGACATTTTATTCCAAATCAGAATTCATTATACCACCCTTGATGAATTTATTTCCTCCAGCTTCCTCTGGGTTGTCCTCATCACTGTTGGGAATATTCACTAGAACTGTGGCTCTCTTTTGCTGTATACCAGTTTCATCAAGGGAATTCTCTGTTAGGTATTTATTTATTTCATTTTATACTGCCCAATAGCCAAGGCTCTCTAGGCAATTAACAAAAGTTAAAAACACACAGGAAGGAAGGAAGGAAGGAAGGAAGGAAGGAAGGAAGGAAGGAAGGAAAGACAGTAAAACTGCAGTAATTGCAACTGATTTTTAATGAAATTGTTCCTTCACCAAAACCCAGTCACTACATTCACAACTCCATATGTCTCCTTTTGTATCAGAGGTCAATTTGATTTGTCTTGATCATTTTTCCATGTCATTTTCCTCAGTAACTCCAAAGCCCTGTTTAGTTGCCTACTTTTTCTTCTGATGGATCTATTACACACTTGAACCATACCAAAGAGTGGTAATTACATCACAAAAAGCATCTCTTTACAACAACGTTTATTCCAGTTTGGGAGAGTGGGTCCAAAGCCCTTCTCCATCAGCCTCCAGCATGCCCCTTTCTTCCCAGCACCATTTGAGTGCTGACAGTAAAGGCAGGCTGGCAGCTCAGATTTCTGCTGCCACGAAGAGAAGGCATCTGGGATGGACCTCTTTTTCCACTTCCTCTGCACCCGTGGACAAGGAAATGTGCAATTTCCCATGGTTCCTGGGACACCTTAGGGACTGCAGGATTGCACCCTAAGATGGGCACACACTTTTGATTTTTCAGTTTGAGGAAACCTCTTGCATGGCATACTTTCTGTCCCTTCTGCTGATACTTGTATCATCTTTTATTATGCTAGTCCTTGTTGTCGTTGTTGTTCCCATAGTAAAGTGCAGAGGCCAGATCTTTTCTGTCTCCTTTCACAGGAGTCTGCCTTGCTGCCCTTTCTTCCTGTCCCCCTTTAGTTTAGCTATACAATTATCTAATTCTTTCTTCTTCAGCTTGCCCAGAACAGTTGCTCTGATGATTGCTTGGCAGAATGACTATTGGAAGTTGATAAAAAGCTCTCTGTATGTTTTGTAAAATAAAGCCATTCCCTTTATCATTCCGAAATGCGGTTGAATGACCTCGTAGGGCAGCCCAGTGTAGAAAGGAGAAATGTTCTAATCTAAACTGCCCTTCCCTCTTCTCCAAACCCCATCCATCACAATCTGGTTTTTACTCCTCTCACTCGGCTTGTGGTAGTGTGTAAAAGCTCCAGCAGGGTGCTTTAGCATCTGCAGTGCAGGCCCTGGCCAGGAGTAGCTAAGCAGGACTGTTCCCATGCTTTTGTGAACCTTGCGGTCAGGAAAACCGCAGCTGCTTGTGCCTCTGCAACTCTTAACAGTGCCGTCCCTCCCTGCACCTAAGTGACACGTCTTCACTGGGAGTCACACATCAGGCAATGCAGCCAGCCTCTTTTTTACCATCCCATCCACCTGCTGCCCTCTGCAGGCTTCTCTTAAAGGTGAAGCCTGCCAGGGGCCACGATCCGTCTCTCCAAGGTCCTCCAGACGGCTCCACTGCCCCTTGCCCTGGCCACGCCCCCTCCTCCCTGACTGCCAGTCTCTTGGTGGTTGGTTTCCCGGCTTTTGTGCAGTCCTTTCCTTTGTGTATGTATATCGTTACATTTAAATCCCACCTCTGCCTGTATACGACTAAAATGACCCAGGGGCTGGAGAAGCTGGAGTTAGATGAGAGGGCTGTAAGAAGAGACATGATGGAACTGTAGAAGATGATGGACGGTGGAGAGAAAGTGGACAGAGAAACATTTCTTTCCCTCTCTCATAATATTAAAATACAGGGCCATCCCTCCAATGAGAGATTAAGCACAACTCCCTGGAGGAACTTCCTCGTCACTCAGAAGAAAAAGCTAACATGGAGAAATGCCCTAAGCCGTTATTTCTCCGCCCACAGCCCAGGTATTTCTGTAGGAATCTTGCCAGATCGCAAACATTAGGAGCCCTGTTGGTCAAAGCAATGCGTTCTCATGGGCAAGGCAAGGAAGCGCTAGTTAGCTCCCCTATCCTTGGAATGCATCCTCCACTGCCAGCAAAATGACAGGAGAAGCCATGGGAAAACTGGGAAGATTCAACGTGGAATATGACGCCTCTGTAAAATAGTGTGAACTACGGACGGTCTCCTCTACAAGCACCCCTGGCATCAGGTTGCCTCCCCGAAAGGCTCGCAGCCCTGCTCAACGGCACCTTCGACGGAGTCCTGCTTAGGGAAGCGGACGCCTTTTCGCCTCCCGCGGTAGATGCTATAAGCCAGCCGTCTCCAGCCTGGAGCCCCAGAGAAGTTTTGGACTCCGTCAGTCCCACCCAGCGTAGTCGATGATCCGGAATGCTGAGAGTTGGACCTGGAGGACACGTTGGGAAGGGTCGTCACGGGTTTGGAGATGGTGCGGGCGGTGGGGCGCGTGCGCGAGGAATTAGTTCAAAGATACTTTGGCGAGGCTGAAGGGGGAAGAGGTCGCTTGGCCCTGGCAAGGAGCGGGCACCAGGGGGCGCTGCCGCGCAAGCGGCTCCTGGCCAAGGGGCGGCGCGGCGCGGCGGCAAGGTTGTCCGCGCGGGGCTGCCGGGGTCGTCTTCGCGCTCGGGCTTCAGAGGGCCGATGAAAGCGGCGGCCCAGAGACTCATGAAGGTGTTCGTGACGCGGAGGATCCCCCCGGAGGGGCTGGCGGTCTTAAACCAGGCCGGGGAGTAAGTCTGCTGGACGCGGGAGGGAGTAGGAGACGCACACTCCCGCCACTGTCTTTGCTGGTGCAAATTGAGGGGCTGCGCGAGGAAGGGCGGCCTCGTCCCTCTCAGAGCCGGGAGCCGCTTTTCCTTGGGCAGGCGACTTCCGTCCCTTGGGAAGGTTGTGCTGCCGGAACTACGAGGTCGGCCTCCCGGTTTGCAGGCGGTGGCGGTGGCTGCTTCCTTCCCCGCGCAGTTGAACGGAGCTGGTGATCAGCGACGTGGCCTTCGAGGGTGCGTGCTGTTCTCGGCGTCTCCTGCAGCGTAAGGGAAATTCAGTGAATGGGGTGTTATTTTTTGTGTTACGGCAGATTTGTGGCTTGTGAGGGCCCCCAACTTCAGCCCAGTGCTTTCGGGCCAATGGGCATATAGTAAGAATGAAGGAATAGGGTGTCTCTAGCATATACTCAGTGCACGACTTTGAGAGCAGAACTGAAGCCATACTTGCAAGCCCTTACACATTCACACTCCTATGCTTCTTTTCCTCCCTTTCCTCCACAGCAACCTCTTTTTGAAAAACCTTTAGGATCAAAAAGGGTTGGAGCCAGATTCAATTATACTTCGAGGAGACCCACTGAAATCCATGGGGTCGAACTCAGATTTACTGATTTCAGTGAGTCTACTGTTGTTCAACTATTGGGAGATTATTGGCTGATCCAGCCACTGCAAATCAGCCAGAGATCTACCAATAAAGCCTAATTTGACTTCTGCCCATTCTGTGCTATGGTGCATTCTGAGCAGGTTGGCTTCCAAGAATGCACATACAGTTCTGGTCCAGATCAATGAATCTAGGATTGCTATCACTAGACCACATATGCACAATAATGACTATGTATGATTGATAATGTATTATTTAAAATTATTATTATATTCAATAGTTTCACCCCTCCTTCCCTCCCCCCGCCTCACACCTGCCCTATTTTATCCTTAGGTAGCTTTGGCTGGGAGAAAGTTGCTAGCTGTGTCCCTCCAGGAGTTTCATGGCAGAATGAGGGTTTGAACCTGGGTATTTTTGGAGAGCCAGTTCAGATGTCAAGACTGGGACTCCAAGCATGGAGTGCTTCCTCCCTCCATAACTGGTGCAGAAGGACCCATGCTGGTTGCTTCTCTGATGTTACAAGAAAACCTTGAAAATGGGGAAGCGGCTTCCAGGCGACAGGGAGGACCAGAGACTGGTGCTATGAGGTATTTTTCCTTCCTGTTGGGAAGTGGTGCACTTCGCCAAAGTCAGGCAAGTGCTGCGCAGGAGTAGTGTGGGGTGAGCTTTGCCCACGTGCTCTTTCCACCCTGCATAGGATGCTAGGGCAGGGTTGTTAGAATGCACCTTCAGAGAACCCCCACGTCCTCTGTAGCTGCGCATGGGTTAGCCAGTAGGGGATCCATCCTTCTGAGCATTTGTCACCTCAAGAAGAAATGTGAAGCATGTCTGTGCAAAGTGATTGGACACATGCCTCCTCCTGCTAGACAAGGAGATATTCACACTTGTTCTTGTAGCTTTTGCCCTAAATGGTGGGAGAAGAAGGCATCCCCCTGAACTGGGGTGGTGGGAGAGGCTCCCTGCTGGTGTAGTGGTTAGAATTTGGCTTGCTTGTTAATGTGGCCTGGGTGCAGCCCACATTTAAAGAAGCTCTTTGATGAGTGGAGCCAGAGGTGGGGTGCACGCTTTTGCACGCCAAAGGCCTTGAGGGTTCCTGCTGCTCTTGGTGCTGACAGTCCTGAGCTCGATAGACCCAGTCATGTGACTCAGTGTAAGACCACTTCATATCCATGGGGAGAAGAGCAAACATTTGGCAAACCTACAATGAAGGGAAGGCTCTCACGTGATTTTCGGAGACTGCATAGACTTTGCACCCTAGGTTTTACATCTGCTGAGTTTAGGACTGGAGGGAAAAAGCCCGGGTGCTGAATTAGTCTAAATATTTGAGCGGAGTGACATTTGGGTATTTAAAAGCAAATGTGCTGCACAGATCATATATTGTAAATGGGAGATAAATCCTATTTTTTAAAAAATCTCACAGTTTAGGCTCACATTCTCCAAGTTGGCACCCACCATGTCTTGGACTACAACCTCAACCTGGAGAAGGATGGACCTGTAAAATGCTCTAAAAGGAACAGATGTGGTGGGACCTCTTTCAGGTCTTCTGCTGCTGCCTGCCCACACAGGGCTGCTGAAGAGCCATCTTTCCCTGAGGGAACTGAGAAGAGGCAGAAACACAGAGATATTTCCAGGATGGCCTCTCCTCCCTCCAACTGGGAAAACTTGATTTAAAAATGCAGCCTGGAAAGTTCAGGCTGTCAAAAATGGCTCATCTTTTCTACTTTATTGCATACTTTTTACTTTGTGATAATTTTTTGTGGTATAAAAAACTGAATGTATTAAGGTTTGCTTGCCTGAATGATGCTCCACATCATACTTGATCAGAGATAAGCCCCACTGGAGAGTGTTAGTAGTTTGCTAGTCCCAAAAGTTCTAGGCAAGCCTCCTCTTTTGTATGCTTGTGCTCTCTGTGCAGAATCTATTCATGTGTGTTTGTTTGTGCATTCATACATGAGAGTCCCCCACCCCTGCATTCTGTATCAATTCGTTTACTCCCTGTGAAAGCAAGGGCAGAGTTGTGGATTTTTGCAATGGTGCTGAGAGGTGTTGCAACACTTGTAACTTGTGGCACATTTCCTTGAGCTCAGTTTGGGGGCATTTTACTTGGCAGAGGGTCCTTTGTGGTTTCCCTTCCCCCCCTTCTATCCCTGTAACTCATCCCACTCAACAGGGTTTCTTGGTGCAGCATTTCCAGGGAGATGGGCAGGTTGTTTTCAGAAGGAAGGGCTAAGGGAAATCCATTAGATCCAACCGCAATCTCGATTCAACCCAAAGTGACCCATTCAGCCCATTCTGCTAGCTTCTTTTGTTTCTCCCACCTCACTCATTATTATTTTAAGTTCTTTTAGTTTGTTATTTTCAGTTCTGCTTGAAGTATGATTAGTAAGACCCCTGGAGCAGGGAGCTCATTTTTGCACATTTAGGTTCTGTGTAGAGACCTGTTATAGATTCGTAACCAGTTTTCACTGATTTATCTCCCAAGGAAACTCTACATGTTTCAGAGGCTATGGGGATGCATTTTCCTTTCATATAAGCTCCAACAGAGCCACCTTTTTCGGTTTTGGTTTCAGCATTTATTCACCCACCTTCCTATAAAATATCCAAGATGGATGTTACAGGAAAGATATTACTTTCTTGTGAAGTAATATCAAGGAAGCAAACGATGGTAGGGGCAATGTATGCAACTTAAGAACGGTATTTTGTAAATGCTCGATGAAATGCTCATCTGCTGCCTGTCTAAAGGGGGCAGATGGACCTCCACGGAAGTGGTGCGCAGAATCGCGGGTGCTGCCACTGAAGAGCTCCTTCCAGAGCTTGGGAAGATGAGCAGAGTTGCCACATATGGACTTCCCCTTTATGCTGCATGACCTGTGTGTGAGTCCAGGCCTGAAACATACTCGCACTTGGGCTTTTTTTAATCAGGCACACCAAGCAGTAAGAAAATGCTTCATTGTAACAGAGCTCAGTTGTTCTGTGCTGGCTAATATTTTAACATTGCTCTGTTAGCTTTGCTAGTTTGTATTAATGGTTAATCATATGTACATGTGTCTTTGATCAGTAGCACAGCCATTAGAGGCGGTCACCATCCTCAGACCTCTGGCTTGCAGGGAGGATTTGGGGAACAAGTGGCAGAAGTTTGAAGAGGCTCCCCTGCTGCCTTCTGCCTGCTCCATAGCTGCGTGAAAGAGCCTCTGCCCATTCCTCCGATTCCCCATGTTTGACAAGCAGCTCAGGAGAGGGGAAAGAAGGTTTTGTGTCACTCTGGCAGAGGCTTCTGCTTGCTGTGAAGCTCAGCAGTTCAGTCCACCTTGGGCATGTTCCCTATAAGTGGAAGGCCCATAACGGCTGGTTCTGTTTGCCAGCTCTCTTCTTCCCCTTGCCAACCATTTTGCTGCCCTTGAGCTGCTACCTGTCCCACTGACATCTGCACATTGCACCTGCCCACTAAAGAGAAGGAAGATGCCCACAAGCACTTGCTCTGAAGAGGAAGGGGGCCGGCCATGGTGGCCTTCCTTTTGAGCTTCTGCCTGGTCTCCATTTCTGTACTCACCTCATTGACAGGATGAGAATTTTCTGACCAGCTGCTCTCCTGGCCAGGAAGCCCAGCAAAAGACATCAGACCCCTTCCTCCTGCAAACTGCAAAGAACTTTGAGAAAGTTACTCATGTCAGTTCACGTGGGCATCAAGTGGACTGGGCATGGGCCAAGGGCCCTCCAGCAAGTGCTTCAAACAGGCAGCAACCTGGGGGCAGAGAAGCAGCAGGGAGGGGAGAAGGACAGCTGGCAGGTGGGCACACAGCTCTGACAAGGCTTCCGCTTCTAGTAGGTGTCCCCCGATGGGCTGGAATCAGGAAGCGGTAATAGAAGCAGAGACAGGAGAGTCGCTGCACCTCCAGTGTAGGAGCATGACAACTTGCAGGAAATGTCAGCGCTGGTCACAGTTTGAACTTTAAAGACAACATGATGGGGAAGTACTCTACTGCTTCGTGGAGTACTGCTTAGTAACAATGTCAGTATGCCTACATACTTTGAATACCTTCATATTTTAAACTATTGAAATCAGTGTGGGACAGATTTTGTTTCACAAAGTATAAACTGTCACATGGTTAGAAGACATGGTTCTGTCTGTCTTTCTGTTCCCTGTTACAGGAACACTTTGATAACCAAAAGGCACTGAGTGAAGCTCTTGCCCTTAGAATTCAACCCTATGTGTGTTTAGACAGAAAGAGCCCTACAACTCCCGGATTTCTCCAGCCAGCATGAAGAATTCTTTCTGTCTAAGCATGCACTGGATTGCACTGTTGATCACCTAAAGATTCGGATGACCGAGTCAAAGATTTACAGTGATGAAAGAGCACAGCCTTTGGTGCATTGTATTGTTCCGTGACCTGTTTGACCTGATTCTGTCTTTCCAATGTCCTCTGAAGTTGCAGTGTCCAGCAGTGGGATTCCGATGAACCTATCCCAAAGTCGGAGTTGCTAGCAGGCATAGCTGGCAAGGATGGGCTCCTGTGTCTCCTGTCTGACCAGATAGACAAGGAAGTCCTGGATGCAGCAGGTGAGTGCGAAGAATGGAAATAAATAGATGAAACGGAGGCACACAGGAACCTGCCTTATCCTGTGCCAGCCCATCTGGTCCAGTATCATACACACTGGCCGGCAGTAGTTCTTCAGGGTTTCAGGTGGGGATTTTTCCAGGCTCCATCAGAAATGCCAGGGGTTGAACTGGTGACCTTCCACATGTAAGGCAAAGGTCCTGCTTTTGAGCTGTGGGCCATCCCCCTGCTGGAGGCACATGACCTGCAACTAGTTTGGGTGGCAAAGATACAGAGCATGTACAAACACACTGTAGCCTGGGGTCAGCCAGTCCACATTATGATGGCAGGCACAGTTTCTGGCTACATCCGAATACTGATGGGAGTGCAGCATACTGTTGCCTCTGAAGTTGGTTTCTCATTCCTTATTCATTTAAGAGGAGAAGCCTCAATAAATTCCTGGGACTAGAACCAACCCCAGCTTCATTCTTCTTCTTATCTCTTTCCTTCCATGGAGGCTTGCATCCAGCTCCCTAGGATTATCTAGGCAGACAGGCTGTAGCCTGAAAAAATTCCATGAGCCAAGCGTATTGCTAAATCCCTTGGTTTCATGTTGCATTTATAGCTCTGTGTTTTTCCTTTAAGCATCCTGCAAAGCAAGAAACTCTGGGCTTGGCAGACAAACATCCCTATATACCACACTGTCATGGGCTTCCTAGGGATTTAAATCACCACCCTGTTATGTTAGGTGCTGTACAGATACAGAGATAATTTTTTTCTTTTGTATTTTAAATGATGAGCTGTCATGCTCACACATGGAAAGAGGCAGTGGTGCTCGGATTCCTATTCCCAAATGGGGAACACCAAGGTAAACACAATCCATTAATAGCCAATGTGTTCTTGGGTGACCAGTCCCATGCAGAATGCCAACAGTAGGTAGAGGGTTGGGAACTTGCAGAGCGCCTGCCATCATGGCCACCTGACGTCCCTGTGTTGGTCTTCAAATGAATGCAAGGGCTGTGTCAGATCAGGCCAGAGGCCTATCTAGTGGCCAGCCAGATGTCTGTGACAAAGGGCAGAGCAACTCATGCACCCAACTGCGCTCCGCTGCTTGCCTGATCTGTGCAACCTGAGAAATCCCATTTTGAGGAGTAACAGTTGTGAAGTTTGAGCTTATGGGAACCTTGGAAGCTGCCTTATACTGGGCTGGAGCATGATTCCATCTAGCCTGGTATTGTTGGCACTGACAGGCAGGGGCTCTCCAGAGTTTCAGGCAGGAGTCTTACCTGAGACATGGAGGATTAAACTCCATCAAATTAAAAATGGAGGCATAACGCGTGTTCAGCCACTGACCTACAGCTACTGCCCAGCGTACATCATGCTTGCTGCATGCGTATCCGTATTCGGGGTGGCATCCAGTGCTTCAGGTATGCCTTGAGTGAGCACACGCTGGACAACTGCCACACAGCCGAAGCTCCTTATGGTTCAGCCTGGAGCGGAGCAATTTACTGTACAGAACTTTCACTCATCTGAATTCATGGGCTGGGTAAAACTGTTTCCAGTCAGAAATGCTCTGCTGGATGGCTCCTTGAGGATGCGATGGTGGCAATGAATAAGTCCCCTTCGCTGCCTTCCCTGCCCCATGGAAGGTGCAGTGAGACAGTTTTACGCATCCTTGGTCACCTTCATGATGATTCGTATGCCAGTTACACTGCCGCCTTCTTCTGACCAGTTTGTATTTACAGAGCTTCCAACCTCCACAGTGCTAAATAGAGTGTTCGGAAGCAATTGACTCAATGGCCCGACATACCTCACAATTCTCTAGTATGACAAGGGCCTCTACAAATACAGTGATTTGGTGGTGAGGCTAATCTCTCTGTTCCGTTTTCCTTCTAATGACTTTTGAGTTTGTGGTTTCATCTTTTGCAGGGCCAACCCTTAAAGTAATCAGTACCTTGTCGGTGGGATATGATCATCTTGCAATTGCTGAAATAAAGAAACGGTAAGGCTTCCATCTAAGAATGTTGGAAACATCTGCAGTGGATTCAGATGAGTTTGAATTTCTATGCATTTGACCAATGAATTCTGCAGTCAACTGACTTTTTCCTGTTTGGATTCTACAGTAGATTCTACAGTTAGTTTACTTTGGAGGGAGATTTGCACAATTTTGCACTTGCGCCAATGCACATGATGCTAATACACACTTGTGCTAATGTGCATATGGAATAAAATTGCCATACATCCCTAAAAATAATCTGATTCCATCAATATAAGATCTCCATTGAAAATTGTTTCTTTCATAGTTGCTTTTCCCTTGAAAAATCAGCTGATGGGATTTAAATATGTGCATCTGTATTTAAAATTTAGCTTGGCCCTCGATCCTGAAGAGAAAGGTTGCTCCCACATGAACCTGCCTAAATGCATATTGGAGGGGTAGGCGATAGGCAAGGCAGTAGGGGTAGGCAAGCATCCCTCTGGACGCTTTGGCTACAGCTTCCATGCTCCCTCGTCACTGACTCTGCTGTTTAGGGCTGATGGGAATTTTAGGCCAAATCTTCAGGAGGACTACAAGTTGCCCATCCCTGCCATGGCAGAGGGGAGACTGTTTCCAGTGGCTTGGTTTTCTGAGATTGCATTATGAATTTAGGACTTCCAAGTGGTGGCTCTCTTTGCTGTTGAAAGAAAGCTCTATTGGTGTTTAGGAGGATGGTGTTTTTTCCCTCAATAAAGCCTTCAGTGGACTGGCAAACCAAGAGCAGAAAACCATGATTTAGAATGTGTTCGCAAGCCGTGGTTTATATGGGTTGTGGTTTGCCTTGAACTAGCCAACCACAGTTCCGTTATCACACTGTCTCTGAAGGTTGTTGCATCATGAAGAGCAAACTTAAGAAGCTGGATGCTAAGAGGATGGGAGTGGCGGGGAGTAGACAGCAAGGCTTTGAATCTAAACTATAATTTTAAAAAATCATTACTGGACTTCCTTGGTTCCTGAATGTTGGTTCTAGTGTAATGCTTTAAGATGGTTTTGATTGTTCTTTATTATGTTAAGTAAATAAAAAAAACTCAGGTTGAAATAAACCTATTTATTCAAAACCCTAAATTGGGCTGTAGGTAGTTATATTAGAAAATAATGTTGTATTTTATGGCTGTTTACCTTGTTTTAAATGTTGTATATTGGAAATGAGTTTTTAATGAATTGATGTGACCCACTCAGAGAACTTTAGCTGGTTGGTCAATATAGAAATTAAGTAAATAAATAAGTAACATTTATTATCTGGTTTATACTACAGCAGCTCATCTGTAGGCCAGTTCACTCACCTAGTAAATCAAGAGCTTTTCTCCCTGCACCCACAATATTCCCTTTATTATATCACATAAAGCCTTTTACTGGCACTCCATGGATACATTTGCACACAGAGTCTCTATTGGCAAGAACTTTCCCACTTTTTATTGAAGGGGAAAGAATCCTGCCAGACCTGCTTGCAAGGCATGTACGGTTGTGGTGCTCCTGGATCCCTGTGCCCCCAACGAACCTGCACCAAAGGGTGAAGTGGGGGCAACGAGGGCCATGCTGGCTAGCTGGGTTCCTTGCAAGAGGAGGAAAGGTGCGGTGGGAATGTTATGACAGAAATAAAATCAGTGAGCAAAATGAAGCCATTCACTGTGAGCTTAGCATTTCAAAGCACGGAAGAATCTGACTGCCTGTTTTAAATTCTAGTGGAATCCGTGTGGGCTACACGCCGGACATCCTGACAGATGCCACTGCTGAGCTCACAGTAGCTTTGCTCCTAGCAACATCGCGCAGGCTGCCGGAATCAGTGGTGGAAGTGAAAAAGTGAGTTTCCTCAGTTTGGTCCAGGGTGAGGTGCAAGACTGTCCATAGCACACCAATTTCAGTGTTTGGAGGGGGTGGTAATGTCATAGCTCAATTAACTGCCTAATTAAATATTTTAGGAAAGAAAGGTAATTATGCTTATTAAAAAGAGATATGGTGAGAGCCAGTGTGGTATGGAACCACACTGTTTGGAACTCAGGTGATCTGGGTTCTAGTCCTGTTCAGCCTTGGAGCCATCTGGATGACCTTGGGCCAGTCACAGACTCTCAGCCCAACCTACTTCACAGGGTTGTTGTTGTGGGGATAAGATTAAGAGCAGCAGGAGGAGAAAGATGTAAGCCAACTCAAGGAAGGAAAAAAGGCAGGATAGAAATATAAATAAGTAACTAACTAAACCAAACAACCCTTGGCCGTGGTGGCTGAAGGTTATGGGAGGTGGAGGGTACCAGGTTGGTGAAGGCTGGCCAAAGACCTAATTCATCCAAAGAGTGAATGCAGCTTGTAGCTGCAGGGAGTGGCCCACCTGACCAAATGCTCTTCTGCACAAAAAATGTTCCATGCACACAGAAAACTAGATGTTGCAGAGGAGCTACATGCAATGCATTCTCTGCCCCAGGTAGTTTTCTTATTGCAGAAAATGTATTTCTATGGAGCAACATTCAGCCATGCAGTCTGCTTGTTGCAATCTGAAGGGCCCCCTTCCCCCCTCACTGTTACCATCATGGCTGCTGAGTATGAACCTGGCCTCCAAGGCAGAGCTGTAAACGAGGAAATCCCTGGCTCAGATCTTGCTTGTTTTGCAAGCTCAGTAGAGAGCCCCAGGCAGTCCCCCCCATTCCCTCAGCGTACTCCTGCTGCTCCGTCTACAGTATGAGAAGGGATAATAATAGTTACCTAACTACGGGGTTGCTATAATGATTATTGAGGGCGGGCCTGTAGCTTGCTTTGAATATTCTAAATACTATGTTAAAATGCTAGCGGCACACTTGAAGAAATGCCCATTTCCATGCTTGAGTTACAATCTGGTTGGTGTGAGGCCTCAGAGTGTGAAGGAACGAACCTCTCCCTCACTGCTCATTTTATATAGAAGTTGGTTTCAATGGCTATGATAGTTGTATGATATTTTCTAGTGACCATCTCCTAGGTAAGGAGCAGTGGGAACTGAACTGGCCCTGAAAACATTCTGTAAGTGGCAAGTAGCACCTTAACCAAGCACTTGTCACTAGCTTCTTTGGATTACTGCTGTTAATTTCTACACTTTTAGCTAGGAGCCTGGCTGGAATATGCAGCCTTTTCTTGCCACAGCATTGGTGCCTGCCTACAGTGGAGGCCGAGTGGTGCCGCTTGAATCTTTGGTGCTACTTTTCTGATGTTCCTTTTGGCAGTGGCGGCTGGACAACTTGGAAGCCTCTCTGGATGTGCGGCTATGGACTTTCTGGCAGCACAGTTGGGATCATCGGACTGGGAAGAATAGGTAACCTCTCTTCTCTGCATTTATTGTAACCCTGTCCCTTCTCTGTGGAACTCACAGCTGATTTTATATCTCCTACCTCACTGCAAGGTAGGTTGACAGAGAAATGAGTGGAAGTCCAACTCAGCAACCTTCCTGTGCATCTTCAGGCTTAAACTCACACCATCATAAACTCATGTATTTGCTGCAGCAGGTGGTGATGCTACACACAGCAGGCACATGGACTTGGAGTCATCTAATTACACTCCTCTCAGAACTGGGAATCTGAAGTGGGCATCAGATTATCAGCTTTAAAACTTGCCCATTCAGCTTTTCACAACTCTAGCAAAAGTTGGACTTTACACCCTTGGCTTGTTCTTTATTCACCAACCCAGAAACGATTCACCAATGTCTGCATGCTGTTTGATTTCATCACTTCTCCCCACCTCACCCAGACCTTAGGCAGCTTCCAGATAATTCACTGAGTAAGGACCTATATAAAAGTGAAAATTCACTGGGAATTGCCAGGTTAATTGATTGCCTGATTAATTTAAAGCATTTCCACAAATTGGCTAACTCTGGAATTGGGATGGCTCAGTGCATGTGCCTAATAGTTGTGCTCTGAAACTCAGGACACATTTCCCTCAAATCTCTGACTAATATCACACCCTTTTGTGTACTTACTCAAAAGTAAATTCCAATGTACTTGGTGGTGCTTATTCACACATAAGGGTGGGTAGGATTGCATCTTAAAAATCAATAGACACAACAATTTATCAACTGGTCCTGGTAAGTAACCACTTGGCAGATCAGGTCTTGCCTAATGAATGAAATTTTCACTGCATATTTTGCTCTTATATGTGGAAAACCGTGACTTTTTTATTCTGCCCCACCCCTTCTGAATGTGTCTGCTTTGTCACAGAGTTCTCTCCCCTGCACCAAGCAGTCAACCACTTTTTCTGAAGCTCCATTTCTCTGTGTCCGTTATCCTTTTTCACTGACAGTAGGATATGCTATGATGCTTGTCTCTCCCGTTTCCAGGACAGGCCGTAGCACGCCGTCTGAAACCATTTGGAGTCAAAACATTTTTGTATGCAGGACAGAAGCCCAGACCAGAAAGTGCTGCGGAATTGAATGCTGAGTTTGGTAAGAACTGTACCTTCGTTCTTAAGGCTGGTGTTTATGTATGTTTGATGCTGCATTTTCTTAGTGATGCTTGTAAACAATCTGAAGAGTAGAAAGGTGAGATTCAAACAGCTAGGAATATGAAATATAGTTTGAGTTTATACTGGATTGAAATGTGTGTGTGGGGTGTGGAGTTTCACTAAATCCCTTTAAATATGAGCTATTATTTCAGTTTAACAAGATCTTAATGTCCTTTAATGTCTGGTCTTGTAGCTGTGTGTGGAAAGGATCACAGACCTTTCTTTAACAAGGAGAATTTCTCCTTTTCCCTGAGTCAAGAGTGGCAAACTTGTGGTTCTCCAGATGTTTTGACTGATAATTCCATCAGCTCATGTTCATACCCAGTGGTGAAGGTTCATAGGAGTTGTAGGACCAGACACATCTGCTCTAAGTAATTCAGTCATGTGAACATGAGTGAATTGGGAATCCAACTGTTAAACCATAGTCAACCATAGTGAGTAACCCTTCCCCTCTACAGCGCATCAGACTTCAGGCACGCTGCTTAAGATGAGCCAGTGTAACTGCTGAACAACCTTTATGGGTGCAGATTAATCCTGCTCACTCATCCAGCTGCTCAAATTGTATGGAACACCAAGTCTGCACACCAAGTAGTTTGAAAGCAAAGGAATAAACGAGATCCTTTTAAAATTGAGACTGCTGTTTGCCTCCTTTCATGAACTTTTTGTGTTCCTGCTATCCACAGGGGATTTAAATTGTTTATTTACTAATATTGGGTGTCTTCACATCACAGTACATAATCCTCCTTATGAGCAAAAGTGGTACACATAGAAGCAGTGTGAGTCAGAGGGGACCTCCTGGGCCATCTAGTCTGACCCCTCAGCTCCATTATGAACAGTCCACAAGTATAACAAACCCTCCCTACGAAGGATCCAAGGAAGGCAAAAGCACAAATGTTTGAACTTGAACATGCCTCTTCCCATGACCCCATAAGGATGTGCCTTTGCTATCTCAATCCATAGGGAGAACTAGTAGAAATCCTACAATTTCCAGCATTCCTCAGCTGCAGTACCTTGCAGAAGTGTTTACCCCCACTGTGCCTTTTCCACATTTTTGTGTTACAACAAAATGTGGACTTGAAATGGGTTGAGCTGGCAGTGTTACCACTAGATGTAGACAAGGACACCTGTCTGTTTGCAGGAAACCTGGGACTGGGACAGAGGTCCACCTTCCAACAGGACAATGACTCTAAACCTTGAACATACAGCCAAAATAAACCTGGAGTGTTTTCAGAACAACAAATGTCTTTGAATAGCTCATTCAAAGCACAGACCTCAGTCCAATTGACAATCTGTGGTAAAATTTGGAAGTTGATGTTCAGTGACAGCACCTATTCAAACAGGAAGAATGGGCAGATGTTGCAAAGCTAAAAGAGACTTACCCAAGAAGACTGAAAGCTTGCTCCCAAAGGTGCTTCTCCCATGTCAGGGAGGGTGATTTCTTATGCAACCATCAAATGCCACTTTGTTTTTGTTTATCTAACTTGTGTGTCGCAATAAAAATATTTTGCGCCTTCACATTGTTGAGTATCTAGTGTACACCAAGTGCTAACAATGCAAGTTTAATCCATTTCTGCTCCAGGGTGCAACACAACATAATGTGGAAAAGTTGCAGGGGAGGAAGTGGGTTGAATACTTCCACAAGCGCCGTGACATGGCTAGCCAGAGAGCTGAGAGTTGCAGGACCATTTTTTCCCCTAAGCATGCATAAGATTATGTCCTTTAAAACACTGTAGTGAGTGCTCACTTTCTGTCTCTCCTTCTTCCCTAAGTACCACTTGCCAGACTAGCAGAGGAGTCAGATTTTGTCATTGTAACGTGCTCTCTGACACCCGAGACCCAGGGGATGTGCAACCGGGATTTCTTTTGCAAGATGAAGAAAACATCAGTGTTTATTAACACCAGCAGGTGAGAATGGATGAGGCCAGGAGTGTTAAGTAAGAATGAAGATTCAGGACTGCTTCCTACCAGTTTCAAGACAACAAGGATGTCTTTGAATAGCATGACTAAAGTAATAGTACATATAATTACTAGAACAGTGTTAGTGTGGATTTGTACCATGCCACCTCTATAATGAGTAGACATTCTACAAACCATTCCTCCTACGACTTGTTATAAGGACCTTCCTGCACAATCATAGCCGGTATTATTTTGAGATCTTTTCTAAAGTAGCAAACACCAGCAAAGGTATACTATTAAGCGCATGCAGTGTTTTAATGACTTCATGTACATTACCTATTTCTTTTTACTGTACTAACATCATTATATTGCAGTAATCTCAGCCAGCAAGTTCTTGGCCAGCTTAGCATAGCACACCATCCCCAACAGCTTCCTTCCTTTAGAACTTGTGTTTGTTTGCTAGCAACTTCTTGATCTTGGCCACTTACAAGTTCCTTCCTGATCCAAAGCCAAATGTTTCTGCTATTTTTGTTACGTCTCTACCCAGGTATTACCCAGTGTGTGTGGGTACAGTTTTCTTCGTCCAGTAACATGGGGAATTCTGAATTTGGGCACAAGTACATCCTGTTTGTGATTCCCCTTTCTGAAGGCCAGCACCACTGCACAATCCTTCCATTTAGTTTTATCTATTCACAGGCCATTGGCTATTGAGGAAGTGGCAACCATATCTATTACACAATCCAAATACAGACCAGTGTTCACACATGGAAGTATCTCTGTGTACATGATTGCAGCTGAATGTGCGAACTTAGTTGGAGACAACTGTATTTGAGATTTAAGGAAAGTATGTTAGATGAGAGGTCCCTGTCACATATTTATATGACTATCTAATTATGCATCTCTAAGTACAAATTGTCACAATCATAGGAAGCTGAACGTACTTTCCAATCCCTTGTTTCTGCCTCAAGCTTCAGCAGGAATGCATGACCCCCAAGATAATGGTAGTCCATTTGCCCGCTATCCTAGTGGCTGAACCAGATGAAAGGGATTTTTCCACAAGGTCTCTCCTCACCTTAGTTTCCTTTAGCAAAACAGCAAACACAACAAAACATCAGCTTACAAAAGACATAAATTGCATGCTAAACTGTCAAGAAAATCTTCAAGCTGGTAACATCCACAACTCCTCTTTGTCTACTTTTGGAATACTCTTAAGGGACATTTATCTCTGCAGCATCCAAATCTAGTCTTAGATACATACTTTGAGATATTCTCACTTTGTTTTATCAGAGGTGCTGTGGTCAATCAGCATGACCTTTATGAAGCATTAGTGAATGGCCACATTGCAGCTGCTGGTTTGGATGTTACAACACCAGAACCTCTGCCTACTGATAATCCACTACTTTCCCTCAAGAACTGTGGTAAGCTGACTTAATTTGCACAGGTATTTCAGACAGGAAATTTGTGGCTTATAGCCAGTCCTGTGGCTATAAGCAGACAGGATTGGGGCCAGATGAAGTCATATTTAGAAAAGATACATTGAAATAAATGGGACTTAATTTAGCCATGACTGATATAACTTTAATGAATTCAATAGGTCTACTCTAAGTGGCCAAATCTGGGCCCAGCCTGTTGGCAATTCAACTGCATGTGAAGGCATGTGGAGACAGCAAGCATCTTTGCAACCATAAGGGAAAGAAATTTGCATTTTAAAACTGATTCCTTTAAATAGTTATTCCAAGTGACCACTCAGGAGCTTTTCTTTGCTCTACTAAAATTGCAGCACATGTAGCAATGCCCTAAGAATGCTTGCTTTTAAAGCAAGAGGAGAAAAGCAAATAACCTTATGCCGAACAGGCTCAGACTCTTTCTTCAGAATAGTGTTCCAGTTTCTCTGAGAAAGTTCAGCATCCTCAAGCTGTAGTTTGATTGATTGGTATGAAATGCACCAGCCCACGAATAAAGGAGGGCACACCAATGTAACAAAGGAGGCCTTAGAAGGGAGCAGAGCATGAAGGGAATAGATTTGACCAAGCATTTTCTTTAGTCAGCAAGTAACATGTGATTACAATAGTGATGTTAGTAGAACTCAGTAACTAAATGAAGACAAACATTGTACTGTCTTGATTCCTAAGATTACTTTTTCTTTCTCTCTGGTACCTTAAATAGTAATTTTGCCTCATATCGGAAGTGCCACCTATGCAACAAGGAATAAAATGTCAGTGTTGACTGCCAACAATCTTCTGGCTGGCTTGAAAGGAGAAAGCATGCCAAGTGAACTCAAACTGTGAGAAGCAATACTATATTGGTCAGTATAAACGGCTTTAAATCTTGGTAGATTTTTGCCCCCATTGTATAGCAATGGTGCAAACTGGATTCAAATAAAATGTAAGAATTTATATAGCAAACCTTCCTGTGTCATAGAATACCTTTAAGAGCAATATTCAGAATGTGCAAGAAACAATAAAGAACCTACATACCACCATTTTTCTACAAACTAAACCTACAGGACAGCAAACTTAGAAATTATGAGCCTCTATCCCTTCCCTTCACCCCTGGATTTGGAAAGTTATTTTGACAGTAATAAGCAATAACTTCTTATTGTCACGGTTACAAGTAAAGGCCTCACTTAGCAGATCTACTTAAGCAACACCAAAGGCCTGACAGCATCTCATTTTGCTCTTCTTTACCCAGTGAAGTTTGATAAATGCAGAGACTAATCGCCAATGGCCATGGCCCGTTCTACTTTGTCCACCCTTTCAACCTAGCCTGGCACAGCTGCTTCTATTTCTAAAGCCTACACTTTTAATTTTAACCGGACTTGACAGCTATTCACCCTCACAGAAGTAGGACTGCAAATATTCTTTCTCCCATTAGAGCTGGTGTGCAGAGTTACATAGTGTATGACCACACAGCAGCTCAGCCAATTGCTACCAAAGGCTTCACTATGAAATCCTAAGCAGTGGTCCCTACCATTTTGGGATTCACAAGCACATTTGGAATTTAGAGAAAGTGCTGTGGAGTGCTGTTCCTTGTTTCAGATATCTGGTTAAAAGTTAGATCCAGTAGAACGCCCCTACAATATATATTTTTTACAAAAGATCTTGGCTCACTCTCCCACATTAATCACCACCATCAAATCTTACACTGGGTATTTATAGCCTGTTGTGAAACTATTGCAGATCCAGCAATTGCCTGTATCACCACAAAACAAAAAATGGATTCCAAGCATAAATCCTGATGGATCTTCACACTAGTCAAACAGGATGGTAATAGAATTACCTATCAGATGTATCTGTGACCTATGCTTTGATGGCATATTTGGCATTGTTAAAATCATGAGGATCCATCCACGTTTTTAGTGCCGTGGTGGCACTGCATAGAAGTACCAGACACATTTTAAATTTCCTCTATGGAAACAGATGTTATATGTAAACTTATGGTGGTTGGGGCCTGTGTGGGGGGAGCATCTGTAACAATTACATAAGATCAGTTTTTCCAGATTAGAATTATACCTATTTGCAAACACATCCCTGCTTTCTGTACCTGCATTCACACTGGTTTTCTGCTTTGGCCTGCTATGTACCTCCTTTTTATCTTAATCCCCATGCCACCTCTCTTCCCCTTGGATCTTTAGGTAGGCAGTAGTCACTTCCATGGCCACCAACACAGGATAACAAGCACTAGGCCAGCCCTGTAAAGGAATGCAGCTGCCTGCCTGGAGGACAAGAGGCTACAACATTCAGCTGCTTGGATGCTGGTGTTCTGGCTAACATGTTGGTCTGGGGACCTGGGAGATATGGGTTCTAAGTCTCCACTTGGCCATGAAGATCACCAGGTGACTTTGAGCCGGTCTCTCACTGTCCACCTAACCTACCTCACAGGGTTTCTGTAGCAAGGATAAAATGGAGTGGAGGAGCAATAGATAAGCCTATTGGGTTCCTCACAAGAGGGAAAAAGGCAGGGTAAAATGCAATGTAGTAAGTCAAGAACAATCATGAGCAAGGGCAAGCTCTCCATTCATTCTCAGAGACTGTATGGGTGCACCTTTTCTAAGGACAAACAGCATTTAGTACAGGGGAACTTAAGAGGGGGAACTATTAAAAATATCAATTTATCTAAACTGTTAAGATCAGAGGCAGAGATTTACTGAACAAGTATTCCCCATGTGGGGAGGGCACAGACTTTTAGAAAATCATCATCCTTATTTCATTCAACTTCTATGCTTCCCCATAACCCAGAAGTTCTCTAAACTGACATACAAAAACCTTTTCTTATGCTTTAACACATTAATGCCCTAGAAATATAAAATTATACATTGAAACAAAGGTAATTCCAAAATAATATTTGTACAATAAGTTCAGATAAGACTGAGCTGTAATTATGGAAAAGGCTGACTTTAACTGCAAAAAAAGAAATTCAATGACTTCTGAAATAATAACAGTAGACAAATCATTTAAGACGTAAAATTGAGTTTTAACACATCAAATACAAATTGATTAGAAACACTACCAAGCATAACACGCACACATACTTCACTTTTCAGTACAAGGTTTTACAAAAAGAAAACTATGAAACACCTAGAAGACTTTGCTGTATTCAAAAAGTATATATATATACACACATACACATATCAGACAATCTAAAAGTTACTTGCATTGGACTCAAGGTAAGCACCTTCATTACACAGTGTATGTTACTGCAAAACACCCAAAAATACATTCAGAACCCCTAAAACTATGTTAATCTATAACACACTTCAAAAGCACTTTGAGGTGCAAAGGTGGTTTCATATTCAGGATATGTAATCTTTCACAATAAAGAGCTCTTAGTTATGTTGTTCACACACTCCATGTAGTAACTTAATTTTACAAATAAATGCTTTCACATTTTTCTTAAAAAATCACTAAAAAGTTTGCACTTTAGCTTCTCATTCTTGAAATGTGCTAGTTAATTATGTGTTAAGGACATAATTAGTTTTCTGCAGCCCTTCTACTCACAAAAAAACTAGCAATACCAAGGATTATATATGCACACATAATCTGTGTAGCACAATCTAAAGCATGTTTTCTTGAAAGTAAATCCCAAGAGTCAGTGGGGCTTACTCCAAAGCATGCCTTGGATTGCAGCCTTAGTACTGCTTCTGTGACAGAGTGGAGAATTTCAAAGCGCTTTCAAAAAGTTGTTTAAGCCTCACAACACCCCTTGTGAGGTAGGTATGGTACAGGTATTAAAAAGAACAAAGCCTTTTTTTAATGTGTGTGGCACAATCACACTAAGTGTTCACCTCTTGGGTTCCATGCATTATTAAAATCTATTGGCATCATGGGACTGAGGGAAAGAGTTAAAGCAAAGTGCTGGGTAGATTGCTGCTCTGCCAGCGTAGGCAAGTGGTTTTGGAATGTTTATACAAATGGCTTGACTGACTAAACCTCTTGCCACACTTTAAACAGGCATACGGCTTCTCCCCTGTATGCACACGGATGTGCTTCTTGCAGTCTGTTAAGGTCAGGAAAGTCTTGCAGCAAATTTTGCAGGCGTACTTGCGAGCACCTTCTACTACCAGGACATTATGTTCAGATAAGGCCTTCTTACATTTTGAAAGGACATCAGCAGAAGCTCTGGTTAGCTGTGGTGGGCCAGGCTGGGAAGAATGCCCATTTTCAAAAGAGGAAGTAGCCCCATTCATTAGCAGCTGAGAATTAGGAGCATTGTCTGGAATCTGAGAGCTCCGAACAGAGGTCACAACAGGCATTTTGGGAGCTATGCGACGATACCCAGGAAAGCTGTGGGCACCACCTCTTGAACTCATGACTGCCCTTGACAATGAATGCAGTCCTAAGCCTGATCTAGGGAAGTCCATCCCAAACTGCTCTGCTCCCCGGTAGCCAGAAGTCTGTACACAAGGAAGACCCATTACATCCTGCATAGGCCTGACGAAATGCGAGTCTGTGCTCTCATTGAATGGATTCTCTACATGAGAGACAGTAGCAGAGGAATGACCATTAGTAGGTCCAGCTTCGGGGCTAATTAAATAAGAGGCATCACCATCCATTCTGCAGTCACTGGTTGTATTTGGAATGTTGTCCTCATTATTCTGGCCAGCACCAAAACTACTGGCTCTGCTCTTATTCAGAAAATTAGAAATACTGAAGGTGGACTTATGTTCCAGGTTATTTGCTACTTCCATGATATGAATGTCTCCTACCCTATCGGTACTAGACTGTGGATCAGAGAAACTACGGTCGCTGCTTTCAGGGCTCAGTTCAATCTTCTCAGCATTTACTCCTCCCCCTTCTACTTCAACAGACTCACTCCCTTCTGCTTGGGAAGTCACATCACTCACTTCATCTTGGGGCTCTGGGGAACTCAAAGGCTCAGATTTCACAACCACCCGCATGTGTTCTTTTTCACTTAGTCCAACTTCAGGATTCTCACACTGAAAGTTGTTTTTTTGGGAAGCCGTTTCCTGATCAAAGCTAGTTTCAACTTGAGTAGCCTGCGACGCCATAGACATTTGGGAAATATTTCCCCCACTGTTGTCAGACTGGCTGGGCACTTGGGCATCTTCTTGGGTACTAAAAGACTGATCAAACATAATAGTATTATCTTCTTGGTTGTCAGTTACACCATCAGGCTTAGCATTGTCCACAATTTTCAAGGAGTCTGGAGAAAAAAATTCATCTCGTGAATGAACCACAGTCTGTGCACTCTCTGGAGTAACATCTGACATTATGGAATCATCTAGGGTAGGTCTAATACGCTGTCTAGCTCTTTCTTCGGAAGACTGTTTACGTTTATGGAGACGTCTTATTGGAAAAGCACTCCGTTGCTCTATGTTGCTTCTGATGGATGAGCTCATAGAATTTGTCTGTTCCTCAGTGCTTTGGGTGGAATTTAATGCAGAGCTCACTATACTTAATCCAAGTTGCTGAAGCATGAAGGACCGCTGCATGCGTGCATTCTGCTCTTGCACTCTATCACTTGGTGGAGACATTGGCAGTGTTCTTGTTGTAAGGTAGTGTTTGCAGGCTTTAACCACAGAGTTCAAATGAAGGTGAGAAGCGGCTAGCAATACATCCATGACATTGCTTTCTCCAAGCATGAGTGTGGAAGTGTACATCATATCAATGAGAGCAGCAAAAGCTTCAGCTGTTACGACCTCACTGTCCAACTGGATCATGTTCATGGTCTGATCGCCTTCTGCTACAGTGAAAAGAGCTCGAAAGTGAGTGCTGCATGCTGCCAAGACAGAACGGTGTGCCTTGAAGTGCCTGTTCCCCACCACAATGACACAGTCACAAAGCTGGCCATGAAGCCGCTGATAGTTCAACTGCTGGAAAATTTGTTCAAAGTGTCCTGGAAAATCCATGATCCTATAAAAGAAAGGAAAATATGATCTAAAAAATGAAAGGACCAATTCTTTTTTAACCCCCAAATAATCAATTTTACATAAGACTGGCAGCAACTTATTTTTCAAACTTTTTATTCCCACCACACTCACAACATTTAGCAGAGTACACTAAACTCCATTTGGTTTCCTATTTTAGCTTATAAAATTGTAAGTACAATAGCTCCAGGCACATGAGATACACACCATGGTTTCATTTACAAATCAAAGGCAAGATTTAATTTGCAACCTAGAAGAGTAAAGCCAGTCCAAGAGCTCAGGTAGGAATATGGGGTTTATTTACAGTGCAATCTACGCAGTGCTGAAATGAAAATGATCTGGGCTGGGGAAAAATGTATTTGTATAAAGGAAACAGTATAGAAGAACCATGATGTAGCTGCAGTCAAGAAAAAAGAGGGAAGCCATTGCAGGGGATACCATGAAGGAAAGACCCTGACAGCTCAACAAAGAAGCTATTGCCTCAGAAACACTCCCAGAAGAGAAATCTGACTTACTGGCATGTTTAAAGTGTCACCTGACAGCTGCATATCTATTGAAGATTCAGGATCACTAACTGCTATAACAGGTTACCTCACCCAGCACCCATCGACTCAGGACTATCTTGGCCAGTGGCAGGGTTTGCTGTACAAGCTTGCCCTTAGATAGACTTCTTAGTGCTTATTAATAACCAATTCTAAATCAACAAGACATCATGGTTTGGTGTAGCCTTGCAGTTTGTCAGCCACTGCGGCATGTATAACAACTGTTCTGATAGAAATAGAGCATACAGAGTTTGTCTCTTCATAGGCCTGAAGGCTTCCTACTCCAAGGAAAATCAGGAATCAATTCCTGTAGTGGGATATCCCCTGTGAATACAATATACATGGAATTAAACTGCCACAGCACCAGTGGAACTATAAGACAGATGGTAGGAAGCAGAAGGCATGTTTGTAACATAAGGATGGGTATCGGCTTTCCAGGACTTTCTAGAAAGATTCCCTTAACGGAGATGTGTGAAGAGATCCCAGCAGGAGCTTATATAGTTTTGGAGGGAATAGCATGTTTCAGTTGCAGAACACATGCTTTAGACCAGGGGTCCTCAAACTACATCCCATGGGCCGGATACAGCCTGCCAAGTTCATTTACCCAGCCCACCTCGGAGCTTTCAGACTCATTCGAAGAAAATGATCTCTGAATGAGTCCAAAAGCTCTGAGGCGGCGCAAGTGTACTCTGAAACTCAGTTTCAGAGACTAGCAGAGAGCCAGCGCAAGTGCCAAATTGTGACAGCTCCCTTCAACTGCACGTGCACCAGCTCTCTCTGCTAGCTCAGGCTAGCTCCTGCTGCTGTGCTCGTCTTCCCAGCATGAACTGTGCACACGCCAGCTCTGCCCCCTATTGCACACGTGTTGGCTCTGAATACAGAAGAGAGGAGCGAGAATACAGAAGAGAGGAGAGTGGTGGGGAGACAGAGGCATTAAAAAAGATAGAAGGTAAGAAAAAAATATTTTAAACTATGTAATACTTTTATTAATGAATATTTCTGTGTCAGATTTATTTTATTTCCTAAATATAACTAAGCGTGGTATTTCAGCATAAGGAGCAGAGTGCAGCCCCTCACAGGTCACTGATGATAATTCTCTGTGTGATTACATCAGCTCAAAGAGCAGAGTGTATGTGTGGAGGTTCCCTGTGTTCTGTCATAGCTATCTGCACTCTGGCAGCTCTGAGATATGTACAACATGGCAGTGACAGGAACCACATGGCAGTGGAGAAGAGGCTGAGAGGCACAACTTCTGAAGCTGCAAAAAATTATAATGTTTTAATTTAAAAAAAACACAGGTTTTTAAAAAAGAGAGAAACTCACTGAATATTCACTAAGTCCTGCAACCCAAGTCCATCTTTACAAACTATATGCAGAGACATAATTTGTAGAGATGGACTTGAGTTGCAGGATCTAGTGGATATTCAGTGAGGTTTTTTTTTTAAAGCTGTTTTATATTTTTTTTAAATAAAAATCGTAATTTTATCAGGTTCAGAAGTTGCTCTCCTCCATCTCTCCTCCTCATTTTTGCTCATGAAAAATTGTAATGCAAATTTTGATGTAGGATGCCACAAGTCATGTATTTCTATGGGTGTGCACTGATGTGAGGGCAGATTAGTGTCATTTGGTTGCTATTGGAGATGACGGTTAAAACAGGTATTGTGAAGGCGACAGATCATTTCATCACAGCCTGTCCATTACTTTCCAAAAAGCGATCCCCTGTGGATCACACTACCACATATGTAAATGAGCTGTGTGCTCATGATGGGCTTATGATTGTTCTCTGCAGAAATGGTCCTAATTGTATCAGTTTTATACTCATTGTTACTGTGGACACTTTTCTGGGGTGTCACCATCTCATTAGCCAAAAGCAGGCCCATACTTCCCATTGAAATACTAATAAGTTTATGTTGATTAAAATTGTTCTTCATTTTAAATATTGTATTGTTTTTCCTGTTTTTTGCACTACAAATAAGATGTGTGCAGTGTACATAGGAATTCGTTCATATTTTTTTTCAAACTATAATCCAGCCCCCCAATAGTCTGAGGAACAGTGAACTGGCCCCCTGTTTAAAAAGTTTGAGGACCCCTGCTTTAGACAGATAAAATTCCTGGTTCACTCTCATCTCCATTTAAAGCAGGCAGCAGAAGCAGGAAAGGCTTCATGAGTCAGTAGTCTTGGAGAGTCCCCGCTAGTCTTGGTAGGCTTCAGTGGGCTTATTCTTGCCAGAAGTCTGAAATAATCTCTTGCAGAGGGCTTTTCCCTCTTCCACTGCTCTGTCCATTTTGGTTCCGTTTCATATTTTCCCACTCCTTGCAGGAGGTCTGAACTGGTTGCAAGCTAGCAGGACTTCCCCAGCACTTCATTTTTACTCTGTTTTCCTCTCCATGCTCTCTTTGGACACTGCTACTTGCATGAAATTAGGCTGAGAGCTTATGCTGCTCACCCCTGATATAAGCAGGTAACAGCTTTAGTGATGTCATTCAAAATACTTATATTATTGAAATATATATACAAAGTAACCACCAATCCAAGATCTGTTTAGAGCAGACCTGGGCATTGTACAGTCCACGGGCCACATCCAGCCCGATGGCTGACCCTGACTGGCCCGCATGAGGTCATTGGCGAATTAAAAGTCAATGCAAATATATATCGTTGTAATATAGATGCAAGCAATACAACTGCACTGCTTTTATTTTGAAGGATCTGCTAAATTGAATTTATTGCTTTTCATGTAATGTTCATGTTTTTGTGAATATTCATTAAATAGTGTTGTTCTGTGCTCCACATTTTCATTGTATCATTGTAATGTTTCATTTACTGTTTTTATAGAGATATATATTGAGCAGAGCTGTAAGTGTATTGGTCCGGCCCTTAACAACTGTCAAAGTTTCTCATGTGGCCCCATAGGAAAATTAATTGCCCACCCCTGGTTTAGAGCTCATGCCTCTTGTTTAAAACATTTAAAAACATGTTGTTTAAAATGTCTTAGGGAAAAGGCATAGTTTGACAGTATATTAATTATGTGTGCTACGATGTGATAATTATTAAGAGATCATGCTGAGGTTGCTAACATTTTGGGGGTAATGCAAACTTTTCCGCTGAAGCTTCCCCCATATCTAAACGTACTCCAATTATGCCAATTCTTGCTGAACTTTAATAACCTTAAAGTTCAGCAAGCTACTACCCAAAACTTCAGTAGATTTTTCTTTTGATTGCCTTTGAAAGTCTTTAAAAAAACTGGTGAAAAAAGATTGTAATTAAGTGGCTAGACTGTACTAATACTGCTCAAAATACCTTAGGTGCCTCACTGCTCTGCAATATTGCTAGTTTTACGGGAGCGGCAACTGGGAGCTTAGAATGAGATGGGTGACCAACAACCAGCTTTTAAATCATATCCACCCTATCTTGCTAAGGCAGTTCTCTTCAGTTGGTGAGCTGAGAACTACATGTATGTCATGTCCTGAACAGTGGCAGTTCAGAAGAACAGTTGTGGTCTTACATACTGCACTCTACAATTTACTAACAAAGTGCATTCAATGTATTACAACAGCAATCATTATCTAATCTAGCAACCATTTGCTTAAGAGAATGAATTCAACTAAAGTATATTTTTCTAAGGTAGTAAAAGTTGTTGCCTTTCCCTCTAGTGCCCCCCCAAAAGGTGTGGGTACACAATGGACTTTCATGAAATCATTTTCTATAATGTCTAGTCTCATAATTTATTCTTGGTGTAATTAAAACATTGCCTTTAGTTGTTATTAGTGTTATTTTTAAGAGTTCCTGCCCCCAGTCTTTTGGTTTATTTGTCTGGTTCTTTCATGGTGTATCTATACTTCTTCCAAGATCTGACCCAAAGATTTACCATAGTCCTTCTTTCACTCTGAGCCAAATTGTCCTTTGTTTTTCTAAAATGAGGCTTTCTAATCTAGCTGGCTGCAGCAGTACTTGAAGGAAGCTAGTAAGGGATTTAAAAGTAGGCAGGCTTATGAGGGAGCCCAACTTACCAACTGCAAGGAGAAATACACTGCTGAAGCATCCCAGTAAAAAGAATTAAAGTACACATACAAGCCTAGAATTATGTGAATTTTGCAATAGGATTAGGAGGTCAAGGAAGTGAACTCTTCCCAGCTTCCTGCTAGCAAATAACTTATAAATGCTTCAGGTAAACATACCCAATAATAATATAAGAAACATAAATTCTAGTAGAAATCCAATAAGCATGTGGGAGCTCTCTAGTTTATTGCACTGCATGTCAAATGCTTGCTAGACAGGAGTTCATAGAATCAAGCAGAAGTTCACGGATTCAGTGAGGGTGTTCAAGGAAAGATTGGACAACCACATGTTGGATATTACATAAGCGGAGCCAGGAATCAGACTAGATGGCCTGGGAAGCCCCTTTTGACTTGCTGTTTCTAAAAGAGTAGGTTTGGAAGGGCCCAGAAGACCATCAGATCCAATCCTCCCTCTCGGTGCAGGACTCCCAGTTAAACCATCCCTCTCAGATCACTGTCCGATTGCATCTTGAATGCCTCTAGTGTTACAGAGCCCACAACCCCCCTAGGTAATTGATTCCATTGTTGTGCTGATCTTACAGTCTGAATTTTTTTCCTGAATTCCTTTTTTCCTGATAAAGGAATCTGGCTGCCTTTAACTTGAGTCCATTATTCCATGTTCTGCACTCTGGGATAATCAAGAAAAGATCCTGTCCTTCCTCTTTGTGACAGCCTTTCAAGTACTTGTAGAGCGCTATCCTGTATCTCCTCAGTCTTCTCTTTGTGGGTATGTGCCTGTTTTAATGAGCTTCTGACCCCTAGGGAACAAGTTTCTGTGGAAACCAGGGTTGCTGACCTGGAGAAGCTGAGCAAGGAAGAGACGCTGTGGATAAGACTTTGGGGACCTGATGATAGTGATAGGTAATAACTCCTCAGCTGTCATGGAAAACAGTGATCCTGCAGAAGGGAGCTGTCACAAGGGAAATAATGTCTTAGATGAAGGGTGAACTATATCCCCCAGCTGAAAATACGTTTCTGGGAGAGGTGGGAACACAAGTGGAAGGAATCTCAATCGTTCGAAACACAGGCAGCCAGGTTTTGTGACAGACATGGAGACCTCGTGATAGTGGTCCCCAGCCTGCCTAGTGTTGGGATGAATCAGTGGTTGATGATGCATGTAGGTACCAAAGCTGTGGAAGTAACAGTTCCACAGAATATAGCTGTGTGGAAGTAACAGTTAAGTTGTAGGTAGAATGTTGAAAGTCTCCAAGGTAACTTTTCTCTGAAATGTTATCTGTTCTATATGCAAACAAACAGACAAAACTGAAGTCTCAAAAAGTAGATGAGATGATGATGTAGGGAGGGTTTTAGATTTGCTAATAGAGACTATTTGGAGGTAAGTCCAGCATGTATAGCATAAATGAGCTCTACTTGAATGGAACCTGATTGCTAGCACCTGACATAAAAATGTGGGCAGAGTAGCTTTTCATCTAAAACCTGAGAAAAAGCAGGCAGGAGCTGGGAAGTATCCAGTTCAGGTTGAATCATCCCTAGGGGATGAAATTAAAATGTTTCCAGTTGTCCAAATGGTGACAAGGTGGAGAGAGACTGTAAGCATTTCATAAAACCTAACAGCTACTCAGAGGCCTGAGCCATAGCAGAAAATGCTGGACCAGATTTGCCTCTGGTCAGATTCACCATGGTGCTGCCTGTTTTCCACTTTTCCTCATACAAATAAAGAGCAAAGAGCAGAAGCTCAGTAGTGGAGCATGCATTCTGCATACAGAAGGCTCCAGGTGCAATCCCTTGTATGTCTAACTAGGGTTGGGAAAGACTCCCTATCTGAAATAATGCAGAGTTGACATTGAGCTTAATAGACCAGTGGTCTAACTCAGCATAAACGAGCTTTTTGTCTAACTGGCTTATCCATTTCATAAAAAGAGCCAAATGGATCAGACAAGAGTCAATCTAGTCCAGCATTTTTCTCACAGTACTGAAGCAGCTACCTGTGGGAAACTTGCAAGCCATACATGAGTGTAAAAACACTCTCCCCTTTATGTTCTCCAGCAACTAGTATAAATAGGTGGATTCCCTTGATACTGGTGGTAATATGTAGTCAAAAGCCATCCAAATTGGTCAACATCACTTTATCTCATACTAAATTATGTTCATAAAATATAGATAATACATTTGGGAAAGCAGGTAACACTGAATAAATAATTCTCGAATAGTTCATTTTTCATAAATAAGAGAATGCCTTGACAAGAACAATAGGTCAATGCATCTCTCAAGAATATGACAGAACTATTAAAACACACTTAACCATCCATTGCAATGTAAGTTACATAGGTACTTGGGATATAACTCTAAATTTGTACATGACAATCTCTGCAGCCTTGTCATGCATCTTAGTACAACAGAAAGAGATATGTGGAGAGTTCTGGAATGGTGTGCAACTGGTTATGTCCTGTTGGATGCGAATAGTAGAATCGAATTTGTTTTTCAAAAACATCACTTGTTTTCAGAAAAGGCCATGTTTGTCCATTCCATCTCATACCCTTCAGAAATGTAAAAAGATGCTAAAAAGATACTTGGAGCTCATCCTTGTCCACTTTTCTCACTCCTCTGAATTAAGATTTTGGTGTTTTTCTGCTTGTTTTATGTACAACAGAAAGAAAAACTATTCAGAGACCATCATCTCAAACTGTTAGAGCACAAACACAATACTCCTTAGTACTCCTAGTGAACCCTTCTAGCATATCATTCAAGATAGCTAACCATAGTAAAACAAAGCAATGTAAAATATTAAAAATAATCTAAAAGCAAACAGATTATATAAACAGTTTGAAAAAAGGGAACAGGAAACATATATTATTCATTAAAGAGGTAAAGCTAAAGCAGCTCTTGAACAAAGAACTCTCAAAAGCCCACCAAACATAAATAGTGACATGAGAGGATATTCAATTTTAGATCCTACAATAGCAGTCTTGGCAATATTTGATGCCAAGGGGTTTCAAAAGAAAACCTCAGTGCTTGGACAAGTTAATCATGAATATATTTTATTCTCCATCTTCCACATTCTGTCATGAGTCCCACTGATACAGCCAAGCCACAAAAGACATTTATGGCTGATTTCAGGAATACTGTTTGTGATCCAGGTTAAGGCAAGGATGGAACTTTGTAGATGTTTTGG